AAAGGTAAAGGTAAAGGTTCCCCTCGCACATATGTGTTAGTTGTTCCCGATTCTAGGGGGCGGTGCTCATCTCCGTTTCAAAGAGGAAGAGTTCAGCATTGTCCGAAGACGTCTCCGTGGTCATGTGGCCGGCATGACTAAATGCTGAAGGTACACGGAACACTGTTATCTTCCCACCAAAGTGGTCCCTATTTTTATACTTGCATTTTTACATGCTTTCAAACTGCTAGGTTTGCAGAAGCTGGGACAAATAACGGGAGCTCAGTCCATTACACGGTGCTAGGGATTCAAACTGCTGAACTGCTGACTTTTCTGATCGACAAGCTCAGCGTCTTAGCCACTGAGCCACCGCATTTCCCAATTTGGTCATACTTAAGCACAATTGCCGAACGCAGAATTACTATTCAAGCATGTTAAAAGTATAAATTTACCTTAAACTCCTTCGGTCAGGATCATAGTTCTTAGGCAGAAAACATCCCAAGGTTCGATATATAATTACCATGGCTACAGCATGCTGGCTGGAATTTTCTGGATGCCGACGCTGTCTTTTGGCATGTGTATTTTTATTATTTACAATTTCATCCTCCATCTTCAGTAAGAGTTCATAGTTTGATGGCTTTGTTGTAGGACCCACTGAAGAAAAAAACATGATGCCAAATTATAGGCTATCATCCGAGATGTGGATTTACACTTCAAGCAGCAATGAGATTAAGATTAAATGAATTAAAATAATTTGTAATTGAAGATCAGAATGAAACATTTATTACATCTGTATTCTCCTTCTGGTCTTTCCCACTATCCCATAATGGTTTACAACTTACAGTTTTTTTTAAAAAAAATAGTACTAACAGAAAAATGTAGATTCAACAGTATTGACAAAATAATATATTCAAAATTAATCATTATGAGACCAATAAAAAGAAGAAAAAAGAACCATGCAAATTAAAAATTCTGATTTTTGGTACATCTGTTGGGCGAAATGAGAAAGAAGACCCTACAGGATCTCTCTGGTCAGTATAATTTCAACTTTAGTTCTTTTTCTTTTTCATCATCCTTAAGTATGAAGTCAAACTTTGCAGAGGGAAATGTTAGAAAATGCATTCTGTTATCAAGTATTAGCATCGTCTACTTTGTCTCCTCTATGTCATACTTAATCTTTCTCAGGCAACAACTTAAAAATGGATCTGAACATTCTTGTTATTCCATTCCGATAAACCTTCTCAGCCTCAAGATATCTAAATGTGCTTGTATTGAAATTTTTAGAATTTCAAAAAGTTCAGGAAGTTATTCTACTTGGAAATAAAAGTTGCAATCCCAATAAATTTGGTGAGGAGAAGAGCAGGAAGAGCTACTCTAAAACAGCATCATACCTTTTCTGATAGATGTTTTGAGCAAAGTTTCAGGAAACAAAACAGATGATTCCAAATCTTTTGGATAATCTTCTTTGATTGTATTAAAATGTGGTACTCTAGTTCCCGTAAAATTGGACTTTTCAAATACGTCAACAGCAATAACTAAAAAGAAACAACATAAACTATGTAACAAGCAATGTAAACAAGAAAAGTCATCGTATAATCGCTTCTTTCCCATAAGGCTTAAATAATCAAGTGATAGTTTAGTAAATGTAATGCTTTATTAGTTTTTTTATACTATAGAGATATCGGGAGAAAGTTTCATGATAGTTATAGGATTTTTTTTTCAGGAAGGAAGGACTCAAAGTTGGAAATAAATGTGTGAAGACATTCACACACCTGTCCATTTTGGTGGTGCCATATTCCAGGACAGAAATATAGTTAAGCATTTTTAAGAAAGCATTGTATATTTGACAACTTTAACTGATTTCTTCGAAAATCAGCCCCATAGTCTAGAAGTATGAACAGGTTGCTGTACCAATTCAGACTACTTATTCATTTAATTTATGTTTTCAGCAAGATTCTTCCCACCCCTACTTGAATAGGTCAGGGATTAACCCCCATAGCTTCTGCAGGCAACGGAAAGGTTCTACCGTTGGGCTTCAGTGCGTCTTGAAAAGCTATTAAGCGTTTTTGTAGAGCAGCGATGTCAGTGAGAAATGTCTTTTGCAATAAGGATGTAGGAAAATAAATATACTTCAAGAGCAGGTGTCCTCTTTTAGCCTGGGGGGGCTGTACTTTGAAGTGATTATGATGGATGGCTGCCTCTAAAAGTTCCAAGATGAATGTCACAGTTTTTGGGGGGGGGGGGAGATAGATGGTAATTTTAAGTATCCAAACTCATAGCGGCTCAACACATTTAATTTTGCCTTTCTTCCACGAAAAATACCACAGATCATTCTGATAAAACCCAGAAACGTTTTTTACCGAATCATGGAGGGCTGCAAATGGGAGGATTGCATGCAGTTTTCAAATGACAGATTACCATTTTAATTTCACAATTCTAACCAACTTTTCTTTCTGTCAAGTAAAATAATGCAACAGTGCATTTGATAATCACAAATTGCAACTGTCCTCTTGAAAAATGCCAGTTTGTATTAAGATCATAACATATCTGAAATGTACTGGTTAGAGTTAAATGAGGTTTAGAAAATCTAGGGTTTAAATCCTATTTCAGCCATTTCATTTTCATTGAATGAAAACAGTCATTCTTCTACCTTCATATGGAGAATAGTAAAACCCCCGTCTTGAGGATACAAATTAGATTTATAACAATATATTCCACAGATCAAATTAGTACAAGATCACATACTAATTGAAACCAATAAATGAGAGGAACTAAAGCAGTACTTAAGACAGAAAGAAGCCCCCTCAATTCATTAACACTAAGTTCCGGACTAAACATTCCTAATTTCATTCTCAAAATAACTGGCAATTTTCTGATATTAAATAGAGCCAATTATCTGTTGACTGTGGCATTCACCCAGCCCTCCTATTTGTCTTCATGTACAAATACAGAAATTTAATGTCAAAACTAGACCTAAATATTTTCTTTGGTTCCTTTTTTCTCATTCTCATTTAATCTCCCTGTCAAATTCCTCAGCAGTTGCTGAATTCCCTGTCGGTGAGGCAATTCTTTGCTTATTGAATTTAGAGAGTGACATGTCTATCTTCCTGTTTTTTTGTTCTCCTTTCCACACTATCGTCCACAGGTGGTAGGGTGGAAATGGTGATGGTGTGGAAGAGACTGATAGGTTAGGAATCCCGGAGAGCTGTTGAGTTTGACAAAGGGCTGAGTGATTCCGAAACACTAACATTTATCAATTTTTCCCCTCACTTGGACCACTGGGTACAGATAATCTTCATTAAGCTACCACACTTGGTTTCAGAAACTTGATGAATTAAGCAAAGTAATCACTAAGCAAAACTGTGAACGTGCTTATGATTTCACTTCAGTTTTCCTTTGCTGCACAGATCTGTGAAGACCATAAACAGGGGGATTGTTCATTTATATTTTTTATTGTATTGCTTTTTTAATTTAGAGTAGAGTGCAGTACTGCAGGCCACTTCAGCTGACTGCTATCTGCAGTTCAGCAGTTCAAATCTCACCGGCTCAGG